GGTGATTATATTATATATATATAGATTATATAGAATCTAATTACAGAAACCAGTGATTATATTATATAGAATCTAATTACAGAAATCAGTGATTATATTATATAGAGCCTAATTGATTAGATTATGTAGAATATAATTAAAGAAACAGGTGATTTTATTATATAGAATCTAATGAAAAAAACAGGTGATTATATTATATATATAGATTATATAGAATCTAATTACAGAAACCAGTGATTACATTATATAGAAACTACTTCTCCCCCTATAGATGGATCTTCACCAAATTTGGTATGGAGGTTCACTGGATCCATGGGGGAGATACAAACAAAGTTTCAGTTTTACATTTTGCGTTTTGCGGTTTTTATGGGCGGTTTTGTGATTTTTACAATTACACATAAGAAAAGCAACCTTTAATGACCTAAGATAACCTTTAATTAATCATTGATTTACATAACTTCCGTCCAGGGGAAGGGTACTCCAGCTAGTATTGATATAAAATGAAGCCTTGACGATAAATAAGAAGCATAACATGAGAAGTTTAATTTTTTTAATACGACAGACAACAAGCATAATAACATCATCCATTCTCCCTGCAAATATATATCTACATTAGAGGGACAAGTGGAGAAAAAATAAAATAACACAAAGAATAATGAAAACAAAACTCTGCCATTGCCGAAAATACTTTTGTAACTCGAAATATAATCAACTGGAACAGTTAGAGGCTCACTGACACAGATAAAGTTCTGGAAAACCAGAAAACTTCAGGGAGCTTTCTAGATAAACAAACTGAAGCTTTCACTCAACAGAGACAACGGTTTGGAGATAAGTAGCTATGGTTACAATTTCATTAAGGAAATGGGTGCGATCTGCCTTACTAAATCAATAAAACCTAAAACAAAGGTGGAAATGGGTGCGATCTGCCCTACTAAATCAATAAAACCTAAAACAAAGGTGGAAATGGGTGCGAGCTGCCTTACTAAATCAATAAAACCTAAAACAAAGGTGGAAATGGGTGCGAGCTGCCTTACCTCGGTAATGACGTTTCGGAAGCCATTCTTCTTCCGGTCAGAAGAAGAATTGCTTGTACTTGATGATAAAATTTGATGTGGGTTGTGATTGGTTGATGGTAAATCTTTACCTTATTAGTAAATTAAGTGGTTCTGGTTTCTCAATGGTTGATGAGGTGATTCTGGTTTTAGTTTGAGTATGTGTTGACCAGTGGTAGCCATAGCCTACTAATCTCCAAACTTCGAACTTCACTGGTAATTCAGATGGTTCTGGTTCCTCATTAGACCTTTGTTTTAGGTTTTATTGATTTAGTAAGGCAGATCGCACCCATTTCCACCTTTGTTTTAGGTTTTATTGATTTATAATAAACACAAATATCTTTTATTAGAGATAGTGCACTAAAGTTTATTTTCCAAGAATAAATTTTTAAGGACCCGAAATTCATAGGATTGGCTAAAAAATCTTTGTTGTTAAACTAAAATTAAAGAGATACGTCGAGAAAATCCCCAAAAAAACGTTTCAAAGTTTGTTTGGAATTAAGCACAAAGCTACACAATGGGCTATCTGTGCTCTGCCCACCAAGAGTATCGAAACCCGGATTCTAGCGATGTAAGTCCACAGACATACCGCTGTGCCACTGGGGAGAACGTTTCAGAGTAAAACGAGAATAGTTGTAGTGTGCAGTGAGTACAAAATCAATACATAATTTCTTTGACTTTCAACTTTTAGATGGTGAGAAAGGCATAAAAAATTCGCATTTAAAACAAAGTTTAGTTTCTTGTAACTTCAATAGTTAAGGTCTACTAGAAGAAAAGAGGGCGTTTTCAAAGGGAGATTTAAGCCTCGCCCAGTCGTCGTTGGCAGGTATTTAATATCACACATGATCTTCGACTGAACTAACACATACGGACTATGTGATTTATAACGTTTTCATATTTTCTTATCAAAAAGAATTTCAGGCATAATTTGATTTCACTTTGAAGTCCATAGAACATACTCAAGTAATATAATAGTTCTTAAAATTATCTTCTTATTAGTTGGATAGATTTATTTAAAAGGGTTTGTTTATTTAAGAACTCCTAGTGTGAGTCACATTTCCTTATTTATCAAGCTAAAACTGTACAAATTAGGGTAGAAGGAACATCTAACACGTGTCACGCTTCCTTCGTTATTAAGTTAAAACTGTAAAATTTAGGATAGAAACGTGTGTGTCACGCTGCCTTATTTATCAAGCTAAAACTGTACAAATTAGGGTAGAAGCGTGTGTCACACTGCCTTATTTATCAAGCTACACTGTACAAATTAGGGTATAGAAGGAACATCTAGCATGTGTCACACTGCCTTATTTATCAAGCTAAAACTGTACCATGTAGGTTACAAGTGTTGTTTCTGTCGTAATGTATATCTAGGAACCTGTATGGTGTGTATTATTACTTTGTCGTAATGTATATCTAGGAACCTGTATGGTGTGTATTATTACGTTGTTGTAATGTATATCCAGGAACCTGTATGATGTGTATTATTACGTTCTTGTAATGTATATCTAGGAACCTGTATGGTGTGTATTATTACGTTGTTGTAATGTATATCTAGGAAACTGTATGGTGCGTATTATTACGTTGTTGTAATGTATATCTAGGAACCTGTATGGTGTGTATTATTACGTTGTTGTAATTTACATCTAGGAACCTGTATGGTGTGTATTATTACGTTGTCGTAATGTATATCTAGGAACCTGTATGGTGTGTATTATTACTTTGTTGTAATTTACATCTAGGAACCTGTATGGTGCGTATTATTACTTTGTTAAAATGTACGTCAGGAAACCAGTCAGTCCAACAAAAACTGATAACAATGCTTAACAGTTTCACAGCCAATGTTGTCCTATACGCGCTGCTGAGCAAGTTTTATTTTTATCCGTAGATAAAAATGAAGGTTGTTTTCTTCGAAACTTCCTGTCTCACGGATCTACCTCATTTAGCAAACATTTGTGGGAAATGGTTATGTCATATACGTCCAACATAGGAGGCAGCATTGCTGTGTGGATTGGTCGAGACTCAGCCAACAGATTCTAAACGTGTCGTCCATGGCGCCAGGATCCCATTGTGATTCAACTTATAACCCACTTTTCTTCGTTACAAGACCCTGCACGTCATAGATCTATAACTTTGTTTAATTAGCGTAATCATGTTTTGTAATAGCAGGGGCTCAAGGATAATTATTATATTAAGTGATTTATAGGCTAACGCAAGGAATAACTAACGGCTATCGATTTTATAACTAAATCTTTCACGTATGATTAAAGTAACAGCAGAACGACAATATTTGTATATGTTTCTATAATTTCTTTAGGAGCGACTTTCTACTACACTGCTACATTCACAATGACTGACAATCACTTTTAAATTCGTTCGTTAGACTAATGGAGACTAGGGAATAAGGTCACGTGGTGAGTATTTCATATAATACCATAATTAACATGAATATATAATTAACATGAATATAGTCTATAATTAACATGAATATAGTCTATAATTAACATTAATATAGTCTAATATTATAGCGGAATATTGACGTAAACGGAACACAAAATAAACAAGTCTAAAATCAATTAAAGAGAAGAAACAATCAAATGTCTGTCTGTCATATTTTCTACATAGTGGACCGTTATGACACTGGCACCTTTGTTAAGATTCTTAAGTGTTCAACAAATCTGTCGTGTACTGCACGAGATGTAAAATTCGTTGCGTATTATACAAGTTACTTTATATACAACTTTTTTTTAATGTGCATTTATCCCATTTTCGCGCTTCTTTAGCGAAACATGTATTTTTCTTGCCTTCATTTTCTCGATTATATGCAGAATGCATGGATGTTTGTTTTAAGGTTCTGCCTGGTTTTCTTAGAAGAGTTATTCGTAACCCTGCTAAAAAGTCTCTTTTAACTCTGTCTCTAATATATGGGATAGTGTAAGTCGCATCCTGTTTACAAGCAGTTTTCTCTTTAAATTTTTTGAAGCACTTTCGAATGCATGAGAGGTAAAGATATCAGAGTAAGTATATATTTCGAACGTGTGTTGTAGATCTTTCAGTCCTTTGAATTTGTTTTCTTTAGAATAGCAAGTTCGGTTTATCTGTAGTAAAAGTTTATTATAAACACGTTGTAAGAGCACATACTGTAAGATATGAGATTAGTTTAAAACTGTTAGAAAAATCAATCTTCGTAACATGAGTCATTCTTGTTAAATATCTTTTATTTATTTCCTTGTGATAACAAGTGCAATCTGCTAAACTTCAAACAACTGGAGTTTCATATATCTGAAAGCGAACACCAAGAAAACGTCTCTTACACTGTTGAATACTCAGGCAGATTTGTATTACTCTATTGTGCTATTCGAAGCCACAGCCAACTCTTTGCTGCTGCTCAAACTTATTTTATCAAAGGGATTACAGATGTCGCTGATGTGTTCCTCGATCCAGTCGAGATACGAAGAAACCCGTGTGTACACTGTTGGCCATGTTTGTTCAGCACACCCACTTCTTCCAAAAGAAACAACTCCAACGACAGTCCAGCGATTATCCACTTCTACCGCTAGAGGTCCACCTGAATCACCCTTTGTAAAAAAAATAATAATTCACACCTAAAATGATATTACAATGGTACACGAACGAAATAAATTGAAAATTTGATGGGACTGTCATCCTTACCCAACAAACATCCTTATCTCCTCCACCGGCACATACTTGGGTTGGGTGAACATCTTTCTCCCATTTGTCTTCGCACTCAGATGCTGACCATATTGGTACTTGGGCTTCACGCAGAACATGGCTGTACTCACCTCCTGTTGCATTTTATTTAAAACAGAAATCTTTATTTTTCAGGAAGACTGTATTTCCATATATATTGTTCTCAAAAGAACGAAAAAAAAATCAGTTTACTTCATCTGAAATTACTGATCATTTGTAAATCAAAAGTGTTCAAATGAAAAAATAATACTAGTAAATTGTTATTTATAAATAACAATAATACCAGTAACGTGTTATTCATAAGTAACAATAATACCAGACAAGTGTTATTTATAAGTAACTATAATACAAATAAAGTGTTATTTATAAGTAACTATAATACCAGTAAAGTGTTATTTATAAGTAACAATAATACTAGTAAAGTGTTATTTATAAGTAACTATAATACTAGTAAAGTGTTATTTATAAGTAACTATAATACTAGTAAAGTGTTATTTATAAGT